AAAGGAGAATAATATGTGACCTCCAAGTTTAAAAACAAGTCAGAGGCAGGCTTATCCAAAGCTCCTTTTATGATAAAGTGTAGACTGAGCTTCAACTTCAAATGGTATTATAGCTGATAATTCAGTACAATACTCACCAGGGTAGTAGAAAGGTGCCCCTGACCACCACTTCTTCACATCCACTGTGTAGTACACAACTACCAGCAGCACAAATGCAAAACAGGCCAGTGTGGTGACATAGGAGAGGACCTGAAAGGGGAATAAACAAGTGCATGCAATAAAGTTGAAAACAACCGTAAAAAAAAAAAAAAGATGACTTAATTTGTCTGGATTTTTATTTATTGGACAAGACACAACGTCTCTACTACTGCGATTTAAATGTCTTTAATTGTAGTGACTTGTAGTGCCGAATAAACTAAAATGTTGTGCAAACATTTGAACTCTGGTAAAAGCATGAAAATGAACGTCACCATAGGTTCTTGTTGACAGGAATGAAGCCCTGGTCTGTGGAGCACTTGGTGAGAGCTGCTGATATGACTCCCTGTGGGTTACAAGAGACTTTTATTACTACATCGTCAGGAAGCTAAAGGGCCATGAAGTCAAACATTGAGACAGAGATCCCATTCATCAACAAAGACTTTTATAGCATAGTAGTGCCGTAGTACTCGAAACAAGACCGGTCTCAAGGCCACTTTTTGAAGGCCTCCGTCTCGTCTCGGAATCGAAAGCATTTGTAATCGGTCTTGTCTCGGTGTCAGACTTGGTGCACTCCAGATTTTAAATCAAGACCGGTCAAGACCACAACTGAAAGACTACTATACAGCATTACTGTGTTACGGCCGCAACCTTCCCTGTCTTACAGGCTAAGAGAGTGACACACCCCTTCACACAGGTTAATGATTTGTCAGTGATATTTATGGTCTTGGTCTCGTCTCGGTCTCGCCCTGTCTTGGTCTTGACTCAGTCACGATCCCTAAATGTCTCGTTCTTGTCTCGGTCTCAGAGCAATCTGGTCTCGATTAGTGTGGTCTTGACTACAACACTATAACATAGATATACTATAGAAGTAACAACAGACAGGTATACACTTGTGCACAGATGAATGAACTTACCAGTAAGAGACCCCATATGAGGAACCTTGATATGATACTTGTGTGAACGTCTCTGTAGTGTAAGATTATTTTCCCTGCCTGGATAGGATTTAAAAAAAATATATGAAAATTAAAATATACTCCTTTTGGTTATTTCATTCACCTTCATATCATTATCAAGCTAAGCATGAGAAATTATGAATGAAAGCAGGAAAGCACGAGCAGACAAATACACAGTGCGAACCTGTAATCCAGAAAAGCCATGAGGACGGAGTTGATGCTTCCAAGAATCCTTCTGGATCATATGGCATATGAGTTCCATAAATCACCTTCAGAAAACACACACACATCTTCGTAAACATACTTGAGTTCTGACAACGTTTACTCTTGCATTACCTGAGACGATAATATTTATTTATAGAGCACTTTGTAACCTGAGTTTAGAAGTGCTTTACAAGAATTAAAAAAAATAATAATAATCATACAAAGCAATGCAAACCAAACAGATAACTTCAAAAAAAAAAGAAAGCTAAAACCACAGAGTCAGCAACAATAGGTTGGACAATAAACCCAAGTGAGATCAGGAAAAAGCTCTCTAATTAAAGTATGTTTGAATAAGAGATTTGAGAGTAGTCACAGAGTCTGCCGACCTGATCTCCTCAGGCAGCTTGTCCAGAACTCACTGCTGCTGAAACACGTAAAAGTCTCTGCCCGAGGATCTCAGGCTGCGTACTGGCTCATACATGATAATATGTCAGATATGTAGCAAGGAGAAAGGCCGTGAATAGCCGTAAAAGGTCAGAGGTTAGATATTAAAATCGGCTGTAGAACATACCGGGAACCAGAGCAAGGAGGCTAAAACGGGCTTTATGTGGTCACTTTTCTTTCTTCTGGTTAAAAGTCAGAGTTCTGAACAATCTGGAGCTTGTTGATATTTTGGATTTCAGATTATGAGATGAAGGCATGTTAAATGGTCTCCTGACTTTTAGGGATCAAAATGATCGTATTTGGTAAGTTTCTGAGATGAGATACTCCCAGATTCTTGTGTTTCACAAAGGGCCCAGCAGATGGCAGTATTAGTTCTGCTTTGTGCTGGGGCAAAGTTATGACAATCAAGTTTAGACTGTCTTCTCCTGCTGCTATATCAGATCAAGACCAGCTCATCCTGCTGTATTGTTCCACCTGCTTCTTCAACATGTTATAGGTTCAAATCAGGGCCAAACTCACACGCAGTACAAACAAAAGCTGGCAGAATATATTTTACCCACATCCAACCTAAGAGAACTCAACAGGAGGCCCATTTTAAGCATTGCAACCTCAACAGAAGAGGACATCACACATCCACCTCACCCCACTCCCCTCCCCTCAGGACGGAGGTACAGAGCACTGAGGTGCAGAAGGGCTCGCCTTGGAAAGAACCTGATGCCGATGGACAGGCCAGAGTGGAAATTTCTGATTGTTGTTTGACACTATTTTACACACTGTGTTTTGGGTATGTACTGTTCTTTGGTGGGTTTTGTCTGTACTTTGAAAAACAAATTCCCCATGGGGACAATAAAGTCTAAAATTTTGGCTTAACCTGCTGAAAATCTTGTGACTTCAATTGTTTTATATATCAAGTGATGTTTATCAAGTCATAAAAAAAACTCAGCATGCCAAGATCAGTTTCTCTAACGGGCAGGTGTAACTGAGTGTCATCAGCATAGAAATGATAGTTAACAACATGTCTCTTGATTATATTTCGCAAGACAAGAATGACAAAACAGAATGGGTCCCAAAAATGAGCCCTGAGGGACACCAAATTTGACGGGAGCAATAGCTGATTTGTGGTTATTAATAGCAACACAGAACTTCCTCTTAACAGGAATGAGGAGAAGAACTATTGTAAAGCTGTCCCATATAATAAAAGATTAAAATATGGCCACTGTTGCCTGTATGTTTGAGTTGTTCTGCTGTTCGCTTACCCGTGATGAGGGATTCTGGTAGATGTGGGAATCTCCCAACAGCCACCTGTCAATATAACCAGCTGCTCCACCGGTGCAGTTAGCATACAGGCCCATGTCCCCAATCCCACCTGGACCCAGATAGCCTCTGTTAACCAGAGAAGAGGAGGAAATTGGTCAACCAGACTTTAACCAGACTTTAACCTCTAATAATACAACCCTCTAACAAACTTTTTACGAGAAGTCAAGGTGAGCTGTTGTGTGAACACAGTAGGTTAAAGGGAGGACATTTACAACGAGGGCATGGCAGCAACGATGAGATGTGACCGGTGCATGATGGATGTGATATCTGTGCATGTAATGAAGCAGCTTCCTAATCTTTTCTGCTCGACAATATGTTCTTTTTCACTCGTAAGCTGATACTGGTAATGTGTATTTCTGCAGCATCTCTTTCACGACATGTCCTGCAACTTGAGATCTGTCCTGCTTTTTCCACAGGGGAAAACTTCCCGCTGTGAGAGACGAGCAGGAAGATTTCAGAGGCAGGCTGTCCTGATATTTCCAAGAAATTTTCAGTAGTGCATGTGTAAAAACAGCTTTGGACTCACGTTGGGCAATCTGGTACTGGGAGGAGAAAAGTGAGGCATAACCAGATGGTTTCTAAGAGAAGCACACACAGCCAGGCTGGCCAGTACAGCAGGATATCAAGTCCAGGGGACCAACATGCATCCTGAAAAACACAGACACTTATCAGACAAACACTTATATTCACCGATACAACACATTTAGCACTAAAAACAATAAGGACAATACACAATTAAAGACATGTTTTTTTTGTATCCACCACATACAAGGCAATTCTCTTTAAGGCAAATCTTGAAACACTTGGAAAGCAAATATGAAGTTAGAGGATAAAAGTTAAATGGAGCGGTTGGCTGACCGTAGTAAGGATGTCGAGATGACCTCTTGCCACCAACAAATCCAAGCATGCTACTACTAGATATGAGCAGGCCAGACGCTGTAACACACCTGGGATCCGCAGGTTGTTCCACGATACTTTGGAGAGGATGAGGATGGAGATTGAGCAAGCATGCAGGTAGAAACAGGCAGGAGAAAAGGACAACATGACTCCAGGGTTTTGGTACAGTTTCTAAGAACACGAGGCGTTTATCAACGATAGTGTCAACGTCATAGAAGAGTGTTTGTACTCACATGGTCCTTGGCAGTAGTTTGGGTTGATGATGATGACGCCGATGATGAAGAGCTGGAGGCTCCTCCATATTACTTTCCTCAGCATTGAGCAGCGTGTGGCGCCTGAGCGGAGCTGGTAGTTGATCGACAGGGCGATGGACGTCCCCATAATGAATACAAACCTAAAGGAGAAAGAGGGGTTTATAGGCATGATCAAATACAGGATCAGAGTGGATTTACAACAAGAAACTTCACAGACATGTTTTGGGGAGTTCTGAGACTTGTTTAGACTTGATGAAAAGGAGGAGAATATTAGACTTTTAAGGTTTTTTTTTAAGGATACTTAAGGGGAATGAGGCTCTGTGTACATTTGTATATTAAGTAACAAAGTCTTTTGATTAACTGGCATTTAAAAAGGAGTTACTCGTTAAGATCTTCGGATTAATCGCATGCATTGAAGCATGCAAATTTACAGCCGTGATTTATTTATGCGTGAGGGGAGAATAAATCCAGCATTGGGTCAACAAATCTGCAGTGGGAGACGTTTCAAATTGAACTCACCAAGGAAATACAAGATCTGCAACTGTGAGCCCTGCGAGGACAAAAACCAGGAATCACAGGTTTAAAGTAATCAGAGTCAGACAGCAACATCAGTATTAAATGTACACGTGATGATTTATATGTTGTATGAATTTTAAAAATCTGTAACTTAAAGTAAGTGCTTCTTACCATTCCAGCTTTCATGTCTAAAAAACCAGTATCGCCCCCCTCCGTAGTTCACGAACACCATGATGACTAAGGAGATACTGACAGGAAAATGAGAAAAGTCATGGTCACTGAAAGACATTAAGCTCTGCAGAGAACACACCAGCTATACTACATGAATGAAACAAAGTTAGAATGTAACAGAAATAAAAGCAGATGATTCACTCAACGGAGCAGATCCTTGCTCATGTTATTTTAAGGGGGTCGTTAATCAGTCACAGAGCGGTGTTTGCTGCCAAAATATCTCACCACAACGACACTCACATGATGCAGCATGAAGACAGATCAGACCCTACCCCCTCCCTGCAATCTGCAGCACCAGCTTGTGACCAGCATGAAAGTCAAATTTAATATCACACTTTCCTCTGTTTTTTTTTTTTTTTTTGAGGGTTAAATCCTTAAAGACTGTTCTGTATTAATAAAACTAAAGTGAACCACATCGGGGGAGGAGTATAGAAACGAATGACCATACTCATTTTGACAAACTGAGGAAGAAATTATGACCGAGTTGTGATTAGCCAAATAACATTCTCAGGTTGAGTTATAAGAAGGGAGAGAGATGAGAACTGGGGGGTGGGGTATACCCTCTGAATGTGTCCAGAGATCGCAGCCTCTTGCTGGGACTGGGCGGTGGAGGGAGGATGTTGTCAGTCACCGGCGGTATTATCCTGCCAGGGGAGCCTAACTCCTGAATGATGATAAAGACAAGACACTGTTGAGTTAGAGAAAAAAAAACACTCACAAAGTATCATGACTACAATCCCCTCGAGGATCTGCAGCCTCTCACATATTTCCCTTTTCTATTTCATATAAACATTCAGAGGTTATACGAGATTCAATTCAATAAGCTCGTACATTTTTCCTCCAAATCCTTTTCATTATTTGAGGGTTAAATACAAAACCTAAGAACAACTGAGGCGAGGTAACAACTTTATACAGTATATTTGCCCTCACAGAGTTTATGAGCCGCTCGGTTTCCATGGAGCCGCCGATTCTGAAGAGGATCCCCCTGACGACTTCAAGCCTGTGAAAGAAGGAGGGAGGTAATTCTACAATCCACACTGAGGCCGTCAACTCTGAAACAAAGATACCACTCATTTTTTAACAAAGCAATCTCTGTTATTTAAAGGATCAATAGTATTGAAGAGTTCCAGTGTTGGGGCCTCTTTGCCTTTATAGGAGAGGAGAGCGTCGGGGGGGGGGGGGTGACGTGCAGTAAAGGGCAGAGGTCAGAGAAGGACTATGGCCTCTGTACATGGGTTGCTCGATGCTATCGGCGCTCCCCCCAGTATTTGTGTAATTTAGAGTGTTCATTTAACTTTTTAAAGGTAGCCGCCTCTGGAGGCTTCTTACTATGTTGCCATGGTAACAAAGACAATACTAACATGGCTTGATTTCAACGAGTATCATGTTTAAATGTAAACTCTGGTATCTGGACGATCCTAATTAGACAACCACTGACTCCATGACTCATACACAAAGATTTGATCATTTATATCTGAACATGAAATACATAAAGGAACAAAACAGTATAAGCACGTTACCCATATATCGTTCTTCCGATAGTAGACATCAAGGCGAGTCCAGCAAAGATGACGAAAGCGATCAGCACGGCTGTGTGGACAGAGGGAGGCGTTACTCTAATGCAGCGTAGCCCATCAAGCTCACGAACGCATGCTGTGTGAAAGCGAGACTCACGGATGTAGCTGTTGAAGGCTTCTTCATCCGTCACCACCGAGCAGTTGACCACCGAGGAGTCGTTGAGATTTTTCACCCACAGCGAGTAGTTTCCGTGCTCGCCGAAGTGGAAGGGGACCCTGCGGGGCAAAACGGATCGTTGTGAAACTCAGCAACACGGACAGATAATTTAAAAGTCATGGTATGAATGTTGTACATGTTGATGAAACATCCATCTGTTATCTGTTCAGCTGATCCTGTTCATGGTCAGGGGAGGCTGGAGCTGATCCCCGCTGTCACTGAGCTCCACGTGGGGTAAAACCTCAACATGTCAGTCCGGATTATCATTCTACTTCTTTTTTAATAACAAAAGTGCTCGTTCACAATTCAATTTTACATTTTCAAATTGTATACTATATATTGTATACTTTCATATTTCATTGTTTACGTTCTTTTCTATTGTTGCTTTATTTCCTTTGTTGACTGTTTTCGCACCAACACACCAGGTCAAACTCCTTGTATGTGTAAATGTACTTGGCAATAAAAAAAAGATTCTGACAGAGTTCACCACGAGAATAACTGCACGAGATATGCCTTCCCCTCAACTTAGATACATTGTGCACAATGTTGACTATTATCTGAATTATATTTTACTATTACTTTTACGTAGTCTGAATAGAAATCAGTTTAACCAATGATTCAATTAGTGGCTAGGAACATCCCTAATTTAAAAAAATAACCTATTCCTAATGACCCAAGATGTATCATCATGTCCTCTAGGACCTACTGTCAAGAAAGACTATCAATATTAATGTTTGAAATTAAACATTTTG